TTTTCTACTTGAAAGCATTTTTCTGTATCTGCACTCCTTTAAACCAACGTTAGCTTCCATGCAATGCCAAGAACTAAAGATTTTGGCAATTGTTTATATTCCATCTTACATAACCTACTTGCACAGCCATGCTTACCAACGAATGTTTCATTTCCTAGAAAGGCAATGAATGTTTCAATCTCTTAGAAACGAATTCCATGCTTCTCATAGTTTACAAGATTTCACTGATCAGCAAACTAAAACCCAGTCATCTACTCATCCCAATGAACCAAAATGAAAAAGAGAAAGAACAATGGTAGGAGGCATTTGACAAATACAAAACCCCAACAATGCTATACATCAAAATTTAAAACTTCATCATAATTCTGCCAAGCCAACCCAGTTAATGTTATATCATCCAATTCCAATTAAACCCAATTACAGAGACATATGAAGACTTAGTTGAAAACACCCAATTCAACATTCTACTCCACAAAAATTCATATTTGGGCTTGAAATAGTAGCAGATGTCAGTCCACTAACTATTATCTCCCTTAAAAAACCCCAATCAACATATTTCAATTATCATATGCTAATAATAAGTCAACATAAACAGATCACAAGTAATGTTTTCTAATGATCAAGATCAGACCCTGGAACTAACTTACAGCCTTTTATATTCTATGTTGAAGCAAATGTATACATATAATAACAACCCAGATTTCGAGAACATCTGAAGAAGTTCTGGTCATACCTCTAGAGGCAGGAGCCCGCAGAGCGTGGAAGGGGAAATGGGCTCTGCATGGTTACAGTTGAGAGTTTGTAACATGCAAGTGAGCAATGCCATTGAAGTAGAACAGAAGTGTGTTGGAATGTAGCGGGCGTGATGCTTGTGTTATGACATCCAACATAGATTCTTATCCATAAAATATTATCACAAATAGATTCAGTGGATAATTTTTTGAGGCTCTCAAAATTGTGTTGCCTCAAGTACCAGTTCATTATTTGTGGAAGCAGCTGCTGCCACGGCACCAACATTTCACAACATCGAGATTTTGAGCATATTTATAGACACGAAAGTATTTTTTTTTTCTGTTAAAAAATGAGAGCCCACGTGGACAAAAGTAAAGCTATAAATATTTATTAGCATGTATTTTAATTCTAAGATTTTTTTTAAAAAAATTATTTACTATATAAAATAATATCTACATTTAATATATTAAATAGTATCATATGAGTTATTAATTATTGAATTTAATATAATATTAACATCTTAAGTAATGTCTGATAATCATTAATAAAATATCTAAGTTTTGGTATAAATTTTAATTATTTTTCATGATTAAAATTTAAAATTCCCAACCTGAAATCTTACTTTGAATAATATAAGATTTATGAGATATGAATTAAAATTTTGCATCATGTAATTTAACAGTCCTTGCGTATCAAATAGAAAAATACTAATACATGCCTTTTAAAATTTAGAGTATTTGGAAGTATATGGTGTAGCTAATACGTACATAAACAATACTATTATGCAGGTGCGCAATACGTTATTCTTGGTGGCTGGTGTAGTTCTTATCTCTTCAATTAAAAGTCAAAATACTTAACTACATAATTCAATTTGTTTTTCTCTTCCTTTAGTTTTCTTCGAACAAACCTTACATTATTTGAATAATTCTGCAACTCATTAAATTGTTTGAATAATTCTGTCTGTAATATCTAAGGTTGAGATCTTGAGTCAAGTCACTATTTTAAATATATATATTGTGATTTTTATATAAAGATTTAACTCAAATATTATTAATAATTTGATTTTAAGTTTTTAAAAGTTATGTAATTTAAATTTAAATAATTATTAGACAAGTGGTGTTTGAATATGACTGATTACATATATTTTATCACTTATTTTAATTTTAAAAATAGATATTACACAAAAGCTATATAATATAATTTAATATCCTTTTATACCGATACTACTAGTAATACTACTTTATTTAGACAAATCTAAAACTTTAAAAATACAAATAAATTTAATTGTAATTATAGTCTCATAAGAGAACTTAATAATCATCCATAAAAATAAATACTAATAATTAAGGGAGCTAATGATTATGAGTAACAACCACTCCCAAGTCTTACCAGCCCAAACCGATAAAAGCCACTACTAAATTTGAGTACATTTTTTTTATTAAAAGGGAATCTTTAATTGTTTTGTTAATTAATCATAATAATTGTCAAGCTGCTTGCTTTTTGAATAGATATAATAACAAATATTTTCTTCATTTCGTCTTAGTAGCAGGCAGCCAAATAAGATGATGCGTCATGGAGATAGGCATGGGCTGACCCCCTCCTGGCAAGGTGGTCATCAATAGGACATGGGTTCCAAATTCTTCTCATAGCCTCCCCCTTCCTCTCTCTACCCCCATTCTTTTCTTCTTCACCTTCTCTTTTCTTTTTTCTCATAACATGTTGAGGATATGGAAATGGTACCAGAGCTGCTTATCTCTTCATCCTGTGAAAACACAAGTTATCAGCTCAGGTTTCCTTTGGGGCATCGGGGATATCGCTGCTCAATACATCACCCATTCCACCGCAAAGAAACGCCTTCAATACAAGGTAAGCACCTTTTCCCTTTTTCCAATCCCCAGAATACCCCTTTTTATCAATCTCATAGTTTCATATTGTTTTTTTTAGAACCTTTATACCCATTCTTCACCTATCTGTGCTATTGGGTATCTGTGTTGCTGTTATATCATTTGAAAGTTCCTTTTCTTTTTCTTTTTTTTAAAAGGGTACCTGCAAGCTTCGTTTTTTATGTTGGTGTCTTGTAGGTTCTTGCAATCTTCAATGATGGTTTTTATTTGGGATATTCCCTGTTCATCCACTGGGCCAGCATTGTTGCTTCTAACTATCCTTGATTCTTCTATATGCGCTTATTCGTAGCCTGTCGGTGATTGAATGCTATTGGTTGGTGATGTTCAAGGAATTTATAAACGTTTCATTTTTTAATGTTCATGTAAATTGTATCCAAAAAAACAAATGGTCATGTGAATTGAATTTGATGATGGCTCCTATTTCCAATGAGGCCATTATTGGAAAAATGTATGGCATTGCAAGAACAGATATGATAGGCGCTGGTTTTGTAACAGACTTATATTTGTGTCTTGTGATGAAGGTTTCTGTGTTTTCTGGTCTAAATGCTGAATGACTAATGCGGTCAATTTAGGTCCATAAGACATTCCAATGTGCTACAAGGGTTCACTTGATAGAAAGAGCTTTGAAGGAAAGCCTGCTCCCGTTGTTCTTCTCCATTTGCTGTTGTGGTTTAAACTGTTTACCCCTTTTCTAATCTTGAAAGATGCATAAGTGTTTCTTTGTTAGCATCAATGCATGCACATAGTTTATGGTCACAATGGCTTCATTGACACTAAGGTGTACAATTCTTAGTAGTCAAAAAATTGTTAATAACTAGTGAATTAAGTTTTGAGTTGCTTCTGTTTTATTTTCTTGTTTGTACTCTCGTTTACATTTAGCCTTTGAATAAAATGAAGTTAAAAATCTTAGATGAATAATAATGCCAATAGCATGAATCTGTAAATCTTGTGTGGTTGTGATTAAATAACTTGTTCCCATATAACTGTTTATTAGAGTTGATTGATCTTATAGTGGCACCAGTTTCCTTAAGTTTCACAGCAAGAATAACAAAACTTGCCGATACATTTACTTAATTGAACTGTAGAAATCATTTCCAAATCATGTATTTGGTGGTCAAGCAGTTGGTCCTTTAAGAGTTTGCTTTTGGTTGGTCCTATGCTTTCTGGTTGATATTAATTCTTGGTTTATTCATAATTGAATGCCATATTTCCTATATCCCTTACTCTCTATTTTAGTGTTTATTGTGCATGCAAGATTTTCCACTGTGACAAAGGTGTCACCTAAAGGAAATAGAACTACTCAGTGCATAGTTTATTCTATTTTCTTTTCACAGTTTGAGCTAAACTCTTTTGTATGGCATGGTTAATGTCATGATATCAAAGAATAATATTATTCATGTTGATCATTAATTAGTTTTACCAAATGGACATACGTTCTGTATATCATATTTTTGTACCCGTTGTCTAATGTTTTGTTGGTTAGAACCATAATTGGATGTTAGAAATACAATTTCTATTGATCAGCTTTAGTGGTTGCTGAAGTTGAGTTCTGGATAGATGAGCTCCTCTTACGTTAGTGAGACAATAATTGGTGTTTTGTTTAGCAGGATGAAGAGCAAGAATTTAAAGTCAATTGGAAACGGGTAGCTATCACAAGTATGTTTGGATTTGGCTTCGTTGGACCAGTTGGACACTTCTGGTACGTTTTGCTTCCTTGATCCTTTCCTGTGAGTGTTCTAGCATTTCTGTTTATCTGCTACACTATACTCTCTAATAGAGCACTGTCTTAAATTAGATTGAGGCTTGTGCTCAGAGAAAAAAAAATGAAATCTACCTTAGAAGGTAGTTCTTGGAGTTGGGAGAGCATTTGACAGTTAGTGAGAAATTATGTTTTAATATGTACAAATAATGAATCAATTTATCTGATCTACGGATAATTGTGAGTTAACCTTCTTCATGTATCCAGGATATTCAAGGTTTTTACTGAGGCTAAAGTATAGGTAGGAACAAGAAAATTGTCTTGAAATTCCAAACACTGGTGCCTTGAATACATATGAAAAGAGCTTGCAGAATTCCTCTTAGTTCTTCCAGATTAATAGAACAAATATGAAGAAGACTGGAAGGAAAATTGTAAATGAGAACTTAGAACTAGCTTTTGAAATGAAATTAGGGAACACAATTATGTCTCTAAAATTGGCAGTGGTAAGTATCCCTTGAATTGAGTATGCTGGATGCAGTTCATAAGTTGACCT